GTGTGTGTGTGTGTGTGTGTGTGTGTGTCGAGTGTGTGAGGTGAGTGTCAGTGTCAGTGTGTGTGGTGTATGACTTCAACAATCAATATTTGCACCAAATAATCTATTCAGTTGTGACGTGTGTGAAATGTGAATTGCTAATTACACTATAATTGTTCATGATGTGTAGCCATGTATAAACGTAAGTAACCATTATTACAGAATTCGTTACCTTGTAACATTGTGAGTTCAATTACCTTTGTGCCTAGTTCAGCTATCTCAAAACTTTGGGGGCCCAGTCCCTGGACCATTACGTACCTCTGTAATCTGTAAATACCTTTGTAACTTGTCATGTTGTGACCAGACCTACTGGAGTTCATTACCTTTGTAAATTGTGAGTTCATTACCTCTGTAACTTGAACATTAAATTGGTATAAAATACCGACAGGTTGTTAGGTAAGACACATATGCAACAGTTAGGTATCTTTATTTCGAAACGTTTCGCCTACACAGTAGGCTTCTTCAGTCGACGTAAGAAAGTAGATAGAAGCAGAAGAACTCCAGCACGCGATGTAATCAGTCCATCACCCTTAAAGTTTTGAGGTGGTCAGTCCCTCAGTCTGGAGAAGAGCATTGTTCCATAGTATGAAACAATATTGTTTCTCCAGGTAAACTCCAGGTAACTTGCTCAGCTATCAAAACTTTGGAGTCCAGTCCCTGGACCAATTATGTACCTCTGTAATCTTTTGACTACCGCCCACAGGATGGGTATCGGGTGCATAATAAACATATTAAACTAACTAACCCCTCAAGGGAGGTTCTTTGATGCTGGTGATGCGTTCTTGATCTAAGGAATTGGATCTGTGTTTCCCTTGGATCGAATGTGAATGTCTCTCATTTCCCTCAGGCGCTATATAAGCCATATGGTTATAGTGTTCTCGCCTTCCCCCCGATAAATGTAATATGTAATTTCATCCTTATTATCAATATCAACATGCCTTCTCCCCGAACCCCCAGAGGTTCCTTGATGCTGGTGAGGGGTTCTTGACCCAAGGAATTGGGCCTGGTTTTTTATTTGATCAAACCTGATAGCCTCGCATTCCCCAAATGTTACATAGCTCCTACGAATTTAATGCTGTAATATATGTAATTTTTCCTCCAACAACCACATTGGTTTCAGAGCTATGGCTTTTGAGAGAGGCCGGTCACCGATCTTGGAAATATATGTCTCCCTAACTTCAAGTACTTCTGGCAGTTTGGGAGACACACAGATGATGATCAAACTAAATGTAAATTATGTGATCAGGCATATGGTCACTGTCTTGAACACTATGTGCTTAATTGTCCAATTATTGAGGAATACACAGATAGTATAATAACCTATGTGACATGTCAAGATATCTTATTAATGAAAATAAGATACCAGATATATTACTAAGCAAATTTCCTAAATTTGCTTGTAATAGATAAGTGAATTATATATATGTAGATATAAATCCATATGTATTCCTGTTAACCCTTTGGAGCCTAGTTCCTAGGCCTTCTGTGTATCCATATGCTCTCGCGCTACCGTCCACAGGATGGATATGAGGTGCACAATAAACTAGCCATTTCGGTGACAAAATCTAAAATATTCACGTATACATAATTACAGTTACATAGATTATCATACATATCAGTATATGTGTAAAGAACCTAGGATAACCCAAAAAAAGTCAGAGTGCCTTATTTCCATTGGGGTCCTTTTAATACCTTATTATTATAATATAAAGGAGATAATATCTTATTATTATAATATAAAGGAGATAGACTAGGAATAAGGTAAAATGAGTTACAGTATTTATATTTACATATGTATTAGCAAAAAAAAAAATCATTCTCCTTCCTTTCTGTCGCTACATTCATCAGGCACATCGATACCATGCCTAACCCTTCTAGGGTAGGGTAGGTGCCTGAGTCCGAGCCTTTAGCTTATAAGACTGTCATTTCCATTTGCCCCCTTGGGGCGGGGATGGCAGACCAGAAAGGCCTAGCTTGTGGCTAGGCCTGGGGACAGTTGGTCCCAAAGATGAGGAGGTACTTGTGCCTCCTCCAATGGGAGACTTAGGTCTCAGACACTCCCTAAAGAGGGAGCCAAAGCCGGGCCACCACTTGGAAAAAGCCCGGGCCGGGAGAATACCGGCGAATCTTTAATAATAATAATCAGGCACCTTTTGGCTCTCTTCTTGAACTGGTTCATGCTATGACTGGCTTTGACATGTGCGGGCAGTCTGTTCCATTCCTTTACTGCTGTACAATAAAAGGTGTTTGAAGCCTGGCGACTGACTGAGGGCACTATGAAGTTGTGCTCCCATCCCCCCAGTACTATGATTGCTTTGGTTCCCAGCATTGACAAAATTGGCAGCAAGATTTAACTTCAACATTCTGCATATCCAATTGTTGTAATTCATCCTGGCCTACATGTTCTCTTGGGCCCAGGTCCAAGATGAAACTTACCATTTTGTTCTGGGTGATATGATATCTTTCATTTAATTTTTAAGGCAGAGTACCATGAAGCGCAAGCGTAGTCCGTGTGCCATTGTATAAGGGCTAAACAATAGACATAGTCCTGCGAGCCTCAGTAAGTAGACACTGTGCTTGTCTGTGGAGGAACTTCAGTTTGGCATTCGCTTTCTTCACTACACTATTCCCTATCAGTTCTCCTGACATGCATGGGTCATAGGGAATTCCCAGATATTTTACTGAGGAAACTGAAGTGATGGGCTTCCCATTACACCTGACATTAAAATTATTAGCCCTTCTCAGTTTGTTTCGTGCCAGAGTATGGCTTCCGTTTTCCCGATAGTTTGTTGTCTACTAACCATTTGCTGCAGGACTCCAGTTCCAGTGTTATTACATTAGCTATATCTTGTGGGTCTTCACCTGTCATCCGCATACAGTAGGAGTTTGTACTTAACTGATGGGCATGTCGTTTACATAACATAAGAATAATAAGGGACCCAGAATACTACCTTGGGGAACTCCACATGCTATCGGCAGGGGTTCTGATTCTGTTTTGTTGATTTTTGACAATTTGTTTCCTGTTGTTAAGATAGAACTTAAACCAGTCTACGGAACTTATACCGATAACTTGAAGTATAGCTCACAGGATAGGTAAGTTTATTCAGGTACAGATACAGATACAGTACATAAATTATCATACATAACAACATATATGTATATTACCTAAGATAACCCAAAAAAGCCAAAGTGACTTATTTCCATTGGGGTCTTTGTAATATCTTATTATTTAAACCTTAAGTTAAAAACAGCTAAGTAACTCATCTATTAAAAAACAGTTACAGTAAAAGGAGATATACAAGGAATAAGGTAAGCTGAGTTATTTACATTAACATTAAAGAAAGGATCAGATCACAGTAATAGGTACATGAATGTTACAGTAATAGGTACATGTATGTTAGGTATACAAGAAATCACTCTCCTCCCTTTCTGTAGCTTCATTCATAGGTACTTTTTAGCTCTCTTCTTGGATTTGTTCATGATATGACAGGCTTTGACATGTTCAGGCAGTTTTTTTCCACTGCTTTATTGTTGTACAATAAAAGGTGTCTGAAGCCTAAACCATCTAATGTGGGTACTACTGCAAAATTGTGAGCAGATGGTGCACAATAAACTAGCCGTTCAGTAGGTGCAAAGTGATCTCTGCTAATCTTTTCGGCGACCGGGCAAAAAATAATTAATTATACCAACTTCTACTGTTTCGAAATGCGAAATTCTTCCTTTACAACTCAGATCTTGACAACAAATCATTTTGAGAAATTTGAGGATATCCTAAACCAAGTCTTTATAAAATGTTACTATTATCTATAATGACCATATGTAATGTGATTTAGTTATTGATTCAAATAAAATTTAAGTTTAATGTGTTAGTTTGATATGTGTATTAAGTGCCCCATACCCATCATGGTAGTCAAAAGTTCATTATTATTATTATTATAATCAAGGGGGAAGCGCTAAACCCGGAGGATTATACAGCGCCGGGGGGGGGGGGGATGTGGAAGGCATTCAGGCTTAATTCGGGAACTGGAGCGCAGATCCAATTCCCTAAATCAAGAGCCCCTCACCAACATCAAGGAACTTCCTTGAGGGGAGTCAAAAGTTCAAAATTCAAATTCAGTGTTTTATTTATTTTATGAAGTAGACAGAAATGTAGTTTACATATAATAAAATATTGTTAACCAACCCAAGAAAGCCACCAGCATGCCCAAAACTTTAGGGCAAATTAGTCCTGATGCTTAAGAACTGGACATAGATTATTTAGAAGTATTTCTTATGCAGTTAACTTCAGTTAAATGTAATTAAGAGAGGTAGATAAATGGACAATGGTACAACTTTAAAAGTATACCTTAATATTACAAACATAATAGGTCCAGGGACTGGACCTATTATGTTTATTACCACTGTAAGGAAATTACAGTGGTAATAAACTATTTTCATATTTATATCTGGTTACAATAAGTAAGTTTATTTAGGCACAGGTACACATAAGTAGAATCATCATATATAGTGTAAATTACCTAGAATAACATAAAAAATTATACAAAGTGACTTATTTCCATTAGGGTCAGTCGTAATAAAGACAGTTTACGAAGGCGTAAATTCAGTCAAAAATATTAGCGTAGTTTAAATTTGATTTTGAATTAAACTGCCTATGTGGTTATTTACAATAGGCAAAATTATAGTATTTTTCCAGAATATTTGGTATTACTCCGCTGTAGATAAAATACTTTGATATTTAACTTTTTGTAAATAAGTGAGTTTAAGTGCAGGTTTACATTAATAATAATAATAATAATAATAATAATAATAATAATAATAATAATAATAATACTATAAGTACATGTACAAGGTATATAGGCTCAAAAACAATGTTAAACCAAATGTATACTGTGTATATAATAGCTAAATAAAAAAATATATAAAGTACACCCCCAGAAAACGGCTCACATTAAGGTGACCTTTTAAATGTAACAACAGTAGCGAGGTTACTAGAAGCCTGAAGAACAGTGTGTTTTGAGGGGTTGTTACTACAATAAGCTTCATATACTCCTTTTATTAAGGAATTTTCTGGTTCCATTAGCTATGGTGAATGTGTTAAAGGGAATCCTCATTAAATGGTAAGTATATAATGGCAGTTAAGAAACTGTCATGATAAAGATTGGTCAGTGTTGTGATTTTGTTTTGGTTTCATAAAAATGGGTTAATATAAGAAGTACTGTAATTTGTATAATTAAATGTTATGTAAAGTCAATAAACATGGTCAGTATTTAATTTATTAAGTAAATTCTATATTCAGTGGGTTAACCAGTGTAGCTAATTTTGCGCAAATGGAATAAATAGTTACACAAATAACCCGCACATTTATTTATTTATTTATTTATTTATTTAGTAATTTGAGCATACATACAGAGGTACAAAAAAATACAGGTAAGAGCAGCATGCCAAAGCCACTTATATGCATAGCATTACGGGCTGGCTTAAAATTAACTTAAGATTAACTAAGCAATGATGAAATCAGTGATAAAACATTATTGTAAACAGATAACTATAAAACACAAATGAGTATTACAAAGACAGGTCATATGGTTGCATGCATTGCTGTACATTCAGTAGAATGGAGTATTCTGTTAGATTGGGTTTTAGGTTTAACATATATGTGATATAATTGTGAGAAACATTTAAGATATACAATTTATAAGGTTCAGTTATTCAGTATTTATTTGGTTTTGGGTGAGTGTGATCTTTGAGAAGAGACTTGAATTTATAAACAGGTAGTGTTTCTTTTATATTTACAGGTAATGAATTCCAGATTTTAGGGCCTTTTATGTGCATTGAGTTTTTGCATAGTGTGAGATGGACACGAGGAACATCAAAGAGTGATCTGTGCCTTGTGTTATGGTCATGTGTTCTGTTGAGGTTGGCAAGGAGATGTTTGAGGGGAGGGTTAATATCAGAGTTAAGTGTTCTATGTATGTAATAGGTGCAGTAATAAGTATGGATGTTTTGTATGGCGAGTAGTTTAGTGTATTAAATATTGGTGGAGTGTGCTGCCTGTAGTGAGAATTTGTTATTCTAACTGCAGCCTTTTTGTTGGGTAATTAGTGGCTGAGATGGTTAATTGTTGTTGAACCCCATGCACAAATTCCATAGGGGAGATAGGGGTAAATAAGAGAGTGATATAGGGCCAGGAGGGCTGACTGTGGAGCATAGGGACAGTATCTTCGATAGTAGCCTACAGTCTTGGAAATTTTCTTAGAAATTTGTTGTATATGTGTATGAAATTTGGAATCTATTATCAAGGTGGATTCCTAAGAATTTTCCCTCTGTTAGCTTTGTGATAGGTGATCCGTTTATCATTAGTTAAGAGGGACATCTGTAGCTCTGTTAAACCCAAAATGAAGAGGTAGGTTTTTTTCAATGTTTAGTGTAAGTTTGTTTAGTCCTCATTTATAAAAGAGAGAGCTTACGACGACGTTTCGGTTCGACTTGGACCATTGACAGTCACACTAACCAGAGGTGAATAAATAGTTATTTTTTTGTAGCTTATTGTAACCCAATCTAACAGTCTATTTATCTCCTGGTCTAGGTCATATTACAAATTTACCAGTTAAAACATAGCATTTTATTATTTTCCCAAAATATAACTATTGTACAACCTACTTTATACTGGAGAATTTACATATTCTCGTGAATATGTATGTAGTTTATTCACGGGTCCCACTGCAGCAACATTGCTTTTTAAGCTAAATGGTTTGAAAATTATTTAGCTGTTAATAAATATTGGTCAATATTTTTGTACAAATTAATATTTGGGAAGATTAGTAAAAATGGTACATTTATTATAGTACGCAGCAAGTCTGAGCCAGTCAGCACTTATGTATGTATAATATTCACAATGACAGTTGTCCTGGCATGTCTTAATCTTTAACTGATCCTTACAATGAACACTTAGTATGGAGTCATGTCACGCACCTACCCAAATATGAACAAAGGTACGCCAATACTGATAGTGGAGTAAGGTTAAGTTAGGTTGGGTTAGGTAGGTTTCATTATTTTTTTTTTTTTGCCGCTTGCACAACAAAATATCTTAACTGCAGAATTAACTTAATATTGTGCAGTTTAAACTATAATAGCCAAAATCTGTTGAGAAGCAGTCATGTACCTCAATCTGTAAAGAAATAGATACATTGTACTTTATAATGCAGTGATAGTGTTTGGCGTGCAGCCGAAAGTGCCTAAGTTGAGCCCTGGACAAGGCAATACATACAGGCAGGCAAGACATGGCAGGTTTCCTAATACCTGCTGTCTGTATCACCTAGCAGTAAATAGAAACCTTTGAGTTTGTAGACTTACAATTGCATCCTGGGGAACGTCCTGAAAAGAACTCGATGGTAATAAATTACATTGCTGGGATTCCTTGAGTTGTGATAACCAGATTACAGGTTTTTCCCTTCAATGAGACTATGCAGGAGTGTGTTCAGCTCATCTACAACTGTTACCAAACCATTGCTTTCCTTTATCTTTCCTAAATCTAAATTTTTCCAACTTGAACTCATTGATGTGATTCCTGTCTTGGTTAGATATTTTTAGTACATTATTCATAGCCCCTATTTTTATTAATATCTTCCAGTTATACATCTCGAGTCTTTCTTTCAACGCACCAGCCATATCCCACTGAGGTGGGGTGGCCCAAAAAGACAAACGAAAGTTTCTCCTTTTAAATTTAGTAATATATACAGAAGAAGGGGTTACTAGCCCCTTGCTCCCAGCATTTTAGTCGCCTCTTACGATACGCATGGCTTACGGAGGAAGAATTCTGTTCCACTTCCCCATAGAAATCTCAAGTCATGTCCCTCCTAATTTCTACACCTTTCCATACAGTGCAGATTCAGTGCCCTCATTCTGTCCTTGTAAGAAAGATTCCAGTACAGTGGACTCGCGAGTTTTGTGATTAATCCGTTCCAGAGTCTGCCAAAAATCGGAATTCACGAATCTCAAAACCATTTTCCCCACAAGAAATAATGTAAATCTAATTAATCTGTTCCAGGCACCCAAAAGTATTAACAAAAATTATTATTTTTTATAGATTAAATATAGATTTACATACAGAAAAGAGTGAGAAATCAAGTATAAAGCAATAATAACATCACTCTTCCCTTTAATGAAGACTCTTGATGCATGGAAGACAGGAGGAGGGGGAGAGATGGAGAAGTCACTGGACCCCTGTCATACAAAAAAACTGTCCAGAGAGCTCTTGCAGCTCTACCTCTACCACCATCATTACCACCCTCTACCACCATCACAACCACTACCACCCTCTACCACCACCACTTTTGTATTTTTCTTCAAACTTTTTCTTTAATTCTATCGTGTTTCTCACCTTTACTAAAGGGCTGGCCTAGAAGCTTTCTTTGTGCCCATGGTGGCTTATTTAGCAGCTGCAAGCACAAAACAGAATGGATTATTATGAAATGTATCATATGAACACGTGAGGTGATGGTCACTCACCCAGAAGGAATGCCACACTGACTCCCTGAATGGTGTGTGGAAGCCTCTGTGTACACGCGGCTGCTAGGAGGCCTCTCGGACGTGTTCCGTACCACTGACAAATTGCGAGGCAAATCACGAAACATGAGGCTATAATATGACGAAAAAAGTTGCCGAAAGTCGAAATTCACGAAGCACAAGGCTCAAGAAACTTGGGGGTCCACTGTTCATGGGATCAACTTTGTGATCCTTCTCTGTATGTGTTCCAGCTCACTTTATATATCCTTACCAAGGATATATAAAGTTGATATATAACCCAAGGACTCCTATAATTTATACATTTTGATATGAAGCCACTAATTCTGTTAGCTCTATTATGAATACTTATGCCTATTGTCTTTGCTTTAGATTACTTCTAGCTGGAACTCTTAAATCTTTTTTGCATTCAGAGTAATTGAGATCTACATTATTCAGTTTATAAGTGCCAGGGATATTCTCTTTTACCCAGTCTTAGAACCTTACATTTGTCTACATTAAACTGCATCTGCCACTTCTCCGACTACTACATGAACCTATCCAGATCTTCCTGTAGCACTCTAGTTTTCTCATCAGAATTAATCTGATGACCTATTTGTGTCATCAGCAAATTTCCTATGTCACTGTTGATTCCTACATCTATTTTGTTTGTGTACAAGCACCAGATGAGCCTGGCCCATGGCCGGACTCCAAGAGTAGTGAAACTCTAAACTCTTCATAGGTATATATTGTGAACAACAAAGAGCCCAACACTGACCCCTCTGGAACACTGCTTGTGATGCATCCCTACTGATTTCTCTCCATTATGCAACTCTCTGTTGCCTATCTGTCAACCATGTCTCAATCCAGGAAAAAAAATTCCACCTATTCTGTGTGCCTCCATCTTCCTCAACAGGCCTTTTTAAAGTCCATATGCACAATATCATTCACACCACGGTCCATTACCTCAAATAACTCGGTGAAAAAGTTAATAAATTTGTGAGGCAGGAATGCACCTCAGTAAAACCATGCTGAGATTCATTGATCAATATTCCTTTCAAGGTGGCTTCAGATAGCTTCAGCAATTATTGATTCCATCAATTTTCCAACAATGTAGGTCAGGCTAATTGGTCTGTATTTGAAAGCTAACGACCTATCTCCTGCTTTATAGATAGTTATTACATTTGTCATTTTCCACTTATCTGGTACTACACCGGTTTGTAGTGGTATGTTGAAAAGACTAGCTCAGTTAGATTTAAGCAAATGTTAGCCCTTTCAGTGGTCGTCATGTAGAACTACGCCATGGTCCCTCACAAGTGAGCTCAGCTCACTCAGATAAGCTGCAAGCAGTAAATTTTGGCCTAGATGTGAGAAAATAGGTCTGTGCAGAGTGTGTGGATGTACAGTAAAAAAAAATCCTGCCCCCATGCTGTACGTGATGGGAAAAGCAAAACTGACCATGTGTTTGGTTTAAAATAGTGACTGAGAAGGTTTTGTGAAGGTTTTTATGGTGTTATTGGCTGTTTCTTGGTGTCCAATGATAGAATGGAATATATACAGTAGAGAATCCTTTATACAAAATTCCAAAATCAGAAAACATTCAAAATTCAAAAGT